ATTCACTCATCTCTCTCACACCCCACTCCTCTCCCACCGGAAATCCTCACCTCCACAGCCCCACCGTATCTCCGCCCCCTTTCGCCTTCCGCCGCCGCTCGCCGCCGGCCGGAAATCGCCTCCGCCGGCGGCGGTGCTCCAAATAACCCAAAAAATACACCATGGAATCCTCTCATCATCCTCTTTCCAACCCCCAAAACCACTTTTCCCGAATCCTAACCAAACGCTTCGAATTTTAAATCTAAAATTTCCGGCCAAAACACAAAGTATACCAAACAGTCCCAAATTAACACCCTGTGACCACCCGAGCCTCCTCTATCTAATCCCCATGCCCGTTTGCCTCGAATCTGCCTGGGTTGCTCGAATCCTCACTTGAATTTTTCGGCCGAAAACCCTAATTCAAAATTTTGGGGATTTTGGACCGTAATATCCCTAATCATGTATTTTCCTTCGAAAAACACACGATTAGGGATGTTACGTGTCAAGAATCCCGGAGGATTCAAACAACAGTGGCTGTCCGGAGTTCTTATAATCAGTAAGTTCTTTTCAAAATTATTGCTGTTTCTTTTAGTTGTAATCTGTTCTTATTGTCTTAGTTTAGTTTTTGTTTATTTGAAACTAGTTGTGATTTAGTTCATAATTCTGTTCTCTGTTGGCTTTAATCTTTTGTTTAATCCGGGTTTACCAGTTCATGATTTCAATTCGTGATTTTAGTGTTTGTTTATTAGTTATTAGTTCGTTTTTGTTGATCGTTGGTTATGTTAGCCTAATGTTAGTGTTAACTGAATCATCTAGGTTAGTTAGCATTTATTAGAGTTTAATTTTAGTTTTGCTGATTGGTTATAGCTGATTTAGGTTCATTAGGAGTAACTGGTTAACTTTTAACTCAAGTAAAGGGTTTTGTTTGAGTTAGTAATTTTGGAGTTGATCAAGGGTAACTTAGGCATAGAAAAGGGTAGTTTTATTAGGAATAGTAATTTTAAAAGTAGGGAAAGGGTAGTATAGGAATTACAGTGGGTGTAGGACCTTCTAGAATAGACCTTAGTATAGTTTTCAATAAAATAGGTGTTGTTACTTGGATAACAAGTTTAAAAATGAGGACTGAAAGTTAAAAGGAGAGGGACTAAAGAGAAAAACAAAATCTGAAGAAAGCTTTACATTTTTGCCTATAAAAGGCACACACATTGCCTTGTTTAGCAAGCTTCTGGACCCCTGAGAATTTTCCAAAACCTTCCAGCTCCAAATTTCCCCAAAATGTACATTTTTTGCAAGTTTAAGATCTGAAATTCGAACTTCAGATTCGAATACAGCAAAACTTAACAAAAAATACTGTTCTATTGTAACTTTGGGCCTGTTCGAGTTATGTCCAGTTGGTTTATTGATTCCTTTGGTTATAAACTATTTCCTGAGTTGATTTCAAGCTAGATTTAGATGCTCAATCAGATTTTGGTTCTGTTTAACTGGTTCCTCATTGCTGGATTTTTAAACTTGCTCGCTGTGATACTGCTGACTTGAATTGCTGCTGACCCCTCTTCTCGCGTTATATTTCCATCTCCAGGTATTCATTCTGCTGTTACACAGCTATGTAGCAGTTATTGGGCAAGCAATAAAAGTCAACACACGATTTCTCATGCTCAATTAACCCAATACATTCCGACTACCTTTTATGTTTAAATGAGCTTCTGTGTGTAATTCAATAAGTATTAACGTATGTAGTTGTAGGAATCATTTTGTTTTAGCCTTACCCATGTGTAACTGGACTGTATAAAGGACCGTTCTGTACTGTTTCGAACTTCAGTGTGATAGAATATAGTGTGTAGTGATAGTAGATTCAATTTAGTTGAGGTTGATCGTTTAAATCTCCATGCATATAATTAGTTTATGAGTTTCAGCATGTTGATTCAATAGTATTGACTTCGACATATTCAATTTCAGCAGGACCAACATTAGACCAGTCCTGATTTTAACAATAAATTTCAGCACGATCAGCATATTCTGTCATTTTTTTATTTAAAGTAGTCACAGTTTTCACATAAAGATTTTCCTTATAAGGCTGAAATTTTCTTTAAAGATGAATTTGAATTGAACTGGGCTGTTAAGAGGCCCAGACATGGCAAATGCTGAAAATCAGACCCTATCAACCAATTCATAAAAAATAAGCCTTGGGCCAATGCCCAGAAGCCCAAGGCAAGCTCCATTACAGATTACTATTGCCCTAGACCTGGGCCCGAAGTTCACAGCTCAAACGATAGACACGAAGAGTCTATTAAACTACATTAGGGATATGGGGGTATTAATTTACAATATAAATGTAGGGTTTCGAGTTAAGTAGCGGGTTCAAATTAAGAGGGTCCTTCCTTTTGTTTGAATTCGGACTTGAACTTGAGACCCGAATCTATAAATGCAAATTAATTAGGGCCCTTTTTAGAGACAACACTGTGATAGAAAATCATAGTTTCTTTAGAATACCTTTTAAATAAAACATGAGATGAGCCTCGCCGCATAAAACATACAAATTGCGGGGCCCTCATTAAATACTATGTTAAAATATTTTAAAAATCGGGTAAGCCATTTAGCAAATTTCCATGGTCTCCCGCAAAGATACCAACACGCTAGTCGTTTTAGGCGCGTTATTTAATAATTTTACCTTCCTAAACTCGGGTGCGCATTTCATGCAACCCAAATCCAAATCCCAAAACGTTGAATAAGAGGTGTTGAGGATCCGGGTGCATTTCATGTGACGTGATCCAAAAACACGCTCTTAAACGGCGTTCACTTTCGTAAAAAACAAAATAAACTAAAAGCGGTAAATAATCTTAAAATTGCACTATAGGTTTAAATATGTATAAAAACCAGATTTTAGCCATTTATAATAATTTAAGCGACCGTGCTAGAACCACGGGATCCGGGGGTGCCTAACACCTTCCCTCGGGTCAACAGAATTCCTTACACAGAATTTCTGGTTCGCAGACTCCAATTGGGAAGTCGAAATTTTCCTCGATTTGGGATTTAAGTTAAACCGGTGACTTGGGACACCAAAAGCTAATCCTATCCCAAGTGGCGACTCTGAAAAATAAATAAATAATCCCATTTCGAATAATGTCACTTTAAATGGAAAAACTCCCTTATACATTATCCTCCGGGGTAGGTGTGTAAAAAAGGAGGTGTGACAGCTCTGGCGACTCTGCTGGGGATACGAACCCAGAATTTCGATTCAGGGTTCAAGAATTCGAGCTTAATACAATTGTTATATTTGGCTTTATCTGATTTTTCTACATGTCCATGCTATATGTGCTAAATGTTTTACCGCTTTGATAACTGTTGAAATTGTATATATAAACTGTCGCGAATCCCTTCCTCCTTCTGAGTCTTCTACATCATGGAGAAGGGTGCACTTCGTGTAGCTTCTCTTCTGTTTAGAGTCTTTTCCCATTTAGAACGAGGTTGGATAAGTTGCAAAGCCGGCGGAGCTTCTGTATCCCCGGTACGCTGCCTCCCCCTCGGCCCGAGTTGTCCGCTCGGGTAAGCCAGGTCTAGACCAATAAACCTAGGGTTAAACCTAGAAGAACAAAAACTCATGCCGGATCCCTAATAGGACGTTTGTTTGCATCATGTGCATTTGACTTAGGGGACTCAACACAGGGGTTGGGTCCGTCTAGGACAGGTGACCTGAAATGAATTGAC